AAGAAAAGTTAGGATTTGGGGCGGGAAAGGTTTTTTGCCATCCCTAACGGAGGGATGCATGGAGTGTTAGTGATCAATTAGAATAAATTTAAAGCTCGCGAAAATAGCAGAAACTGTCTTGAAAGTTTAGGGTCTGTTAGGAGTTTTAAATATAGGTAAATTCCTCTAGGGTTCCCCAACCTTTCCATTCGTGTCACCCCATATCACCAACATTCTATTTAATCCATCTTATGTCCCCAGTCTTCTAAAATTGTGCACACGATGTCCTGACCCGATGAAACCATCGATTGAGAGGGAAAAAGACAGTATAGGCGCGTTATAAATGACTCATGAATATAATTTCAAAATGAGTTTTCCTTCACACTTTTATTACTTCTTTGGGAAAAATAACTTTTCAAAGGACAAAAAGTGGATATAAAACATATAGCGGACACCTAATTTTCAAATAAACTAAACTTTTGCTTAAATTTTCAATAATTTATTTTAGATAAGTCAAAAGAAAACAGAAACACTACATAACAAGTGGGATCCTGTTATAATCAAAAGTTCAAATTTTAAGAAAAAGATTAAAACTTCCTACCTTTACTTGAAAATCAGAAAATTTGTTCCAACCTGTGCACACTTCACTATCCTGCAAGAGAAACAATATACATTATTAGATTGCGTTTCCATCGTAGTATGAATTACAGTAAAGTCAAGATTTAGATTCTTGGGAGAATTGCACAGAAGTGGATACGGCTGAAGAAGGGAGGGTTCTTACTTTTCAATTTAATACAGCAAGTGAAAAAAAAATCCATTGTAGACTGATTTGGGCTGCAAATTTTACTATATATTTTTCGGATTTCAGAAGATAATATGAGATTTAGGGTTTGGTTTAGGACTAATTTTTTTTTTCCTTCTAGTTCATAAATCGACGATGATTGGGAAACTGATTCTATCATTCTAATTGGTTTTCTTGGTTGATTTTAATCAATGGGTTGTACATATTAATTGACGTAGAATTGGTTGTACATATATTTTTGATAAACACACTACTTGGGCATATTTTTGTATTTAATCTTGTATTTTGTATACATATTAAATTCTGAAAACTTTAGATACATTTGTACTTTAACAAAATTTATAATTTAATAAAATTAATTTTTAATTAAAAAAAGTTTGGTTCGGTTCCCTTTTTTGCGGTTTTCGAAAATTAAAACTTAAACCAAACCATTTTGAAACAGTTTAATTTGGTTTGATAGGAAAAAAACAGCGGGTCCACGTGGACCCGAACCAACAGATTTGGTTCGGTTTGCAGTTTGGCAATTTTTTTGTGAAGCCCTACTCATATTAAACTTTTTACGGTGTTTAATAAACGTTGCTAAAAGCAACATTTCGCAACGTTTATTAAATGCTGTAAAAAGTTTTATCTTTTGCAACGTTTACACTTTTTGCAACACTTATTTACAAAATGTTGCTAAAGCTTAATTATATTAACTAATAGCAACATTCACTTATTAAAATGTTGCGATAGACTCCTTTAGCAACACATAACTATCGAATGTAGCCTTTTATGTATTGCGAAAGCTCATTTTGGGGGTAGTGTATGAACCAAAAATTACTGCAAAATTAACTATCGAATGTTGTCTTTTATGAGTTGCAAATAATATTTTTTGGTGTAGTGTCGGCATTTGCATCACTCTATGATGAGACGTGTCATTAAAATGCTCTCTCACTTTTAGTATATGGACATCATAAGCTAGTTCGTTGACAGCCTCTGCAAAAGCCGCTACTCGTTGAGAAGCACGTGGAAGTACATGAAACCCGGGATCTTTCGACTGTAAGAACCAAGGAAAAACTTGTAATTTGGGCAGCATCAAATTACAAATATGAAAGTGTTAAGTATCCATGAACATACGAATGTCAACTTTACAGGTAGAATTGGAAAATTTTAAAAGCAAATTTTAAATTATGGTTACGGTTTGTCTTAAAATAATTAATTTTAGATTCTCATGTCAAAATCATAGTTCTATAACTGTATAATTATTTTAAGTCACTATTCTCTAAAATACTTTATTTAAAATCGAAATCCTGTTTGTTAAAAGAGATGAAGAAGTAAGAGAGACTCAATACCTGCTCCAATAGGTAAAAAAGTTTCCAAGCCTTTTCAGGAACATCGACAAGCCTGACAACTGCCCCTTCCAGCCATAGACAATTCCCCACTTCCATCAACATCAACCACTTTCAGTAGGTTTTGATAAATACTTGTACGTAGTACAAAAAGAGACAAACTAGTGCTCAATCTAGCTAAAGTTGACCTCAATGAAGCTTCAAAGACTGAAAATCGACTTGTTAAACTATTTGCAACCGCGAGAATTTGTAAAGCACCCTGGACAAATGACCACTCCTCCTCGTTTGACATAGACTCAACTTTACGTGCATGTGAAGCTCCTTCTTTTCTATCTGATCCCATTTCCTTCTTTACACCAACACCATCAGATGACACATCCACTCCAGTTACTACTAAACTTTGATTTTAGGATACCCCAAAGAGTGGAAATTTATTTTAGCAATGTGTCATCGAGTACGAGAATCAACTCATAGGCCTCAGAACCACCAACGAAGTTAATGCATCTCTGAGCAGCTGCTTCAAGAAGTAGAATGACTTGTAGGACAGACTCTTCCATCCTTCGAACCGTTTCATTGAGTTCGACTCCCTGGACACCAATAATGCGAGTAGTAACTCCTCTAAGATCAAGTCCAGCAGTCTCACCAGATAGCACTACACGCTCCATTTGCCCATACCTAGGACATAAGTTAAAAATAAACAAGTTGATAAATCAAGTTACATTGATTCAGAAATGATCTGTAAGTCGAATGTATCAATATCTCCTGCAAAGCAGAGTCCATAATACACCAACTCATTGTTTAGCCAAAAAAACTAGCATAATCAAACACTAAGGGTCCGTTTCATTTTTTTTTATTATTATTTTTTTGAATTGCCTAGAATTTGTTTTACTGAGAATTGTAGTTAATTATGTTCGATTGGTATAATTTTTCATCTGAAAAATGTTGAAAGTTTGATGTCCGTTTGACTTTGTTTTTCATTAAAATTGTCCATTAAAGTGATAATTTTTTTGTACCATTGGGTTTAGAATTTGTTTCAATCGGAAAAAAATATTTACCATACCGAATACCATTCGTTTGGCTTTATTTTGCATGAAAATTGTCAATAAAATTGATAATTTTTTTTTACCATTGTGTCTAAAATTTTTTCCAATTGCAAATAATAAAAAAAAAAAATTCAGCAAACCTAGTGTGGGGGGTGGGTGGAAATTGTTTTCCATGACAAATTGTTTTCCATTTTCCATGGAAAACAATGGCTATCAAACATAGCCTAAGACTATTTAAACCTACAATTTATCTTATAGGATAGAGGATCATAAGAATAATAATCAAATTTATCAGAATGATAATTCAATACTCTCCAACGCCCATGTAACCGCATGGATGCTTACTCAAAATTGATTCCAAATTAATATATCTATGTAGATTACATTAATCTTTTGGATGGAGATAATATTAGAAAATAATAAGGTTTAGGATAGAACAATTGTGAAATCTACATTAAATCTGTGTGGAATGTCTTCTTATGGAAGCATTCAAAATACTATAATACCAAACTAAGCCTTGTTACTGGTTAAATTGGAGTTGTCTATATGAATCCTTTTTCTCTGTCATTCATCATTAAGCAATTAAAACTCTTAAAGAAGCCCACTACAGTATAGCATACTCTACTGTAGGAGGTAATTAAATCATTTTTAAAATCATATGGAAGCCTATACCAAAAACCCATGAAAATGTACTTCACATCCACATACCTTTGTTTAAAAGTTTCATAAGGAAGGTAGATCGCCTTCAGTATGTTCAACAACACGTGAAGATCGGAGTCTATAAACAGATGCTGAACATTCCTGGCTGTGGGATTAATTGGGCCTATGTGGTTCTCTTTTAACACATTTGGGCCGGTTTCATTTGTGGCCCTTGGATTTCATCTATGGCTGGGATTAAATCTTGTCTTTAGATATTTTCTTGGCTTGTCTTTTCTCTACATATTCACGTGGGATAGCTTCTTGGAGACATCTCTTTTCTCTCTCTTTGTCTCTCGTTTGCCTTCTTCTCTGCCAAGAGGGGTTTTTGAGGCCGCAATCTTCCCTCCTTTCCTTTGGCCTAGAAATCGACCCCTTAGCCTGTTGATTGAAGAAACCTCTGTTATACTTAGGCCTGAAATAGTGGCTAATGTGTGTTGTGTTTCTCTGAGGTTTAGTTCCGATTTTAGGCGTGGTGTCTTGACTTATTTATGGTAGATCCTTTGGATCGATGACCTAGCCAAGTGTGAGAGTTCTTTGCCGGTTTTTACCTCTCTATGGATGGCGATTGCGAAGCTTGGAAGTGACTGTTCCTGAGCCGAATTTCAGCCGAAAAAGGAGAAGAAGAAGGCTGCTTTGTGGACGGTAAAAGGGAAGTTCCTCTCGGTTTTTTGTTCCAAGTCTTGCCTTCGGTTTTACCCTGTCATTTCATAGTTTCAGATTCTGTGAAGTTTCCATTTCAGTTTTTTTATGGTTTGATAGTATTCTGCAATTTTATGTAATCTATTAATGCCATTGATATAGTCTGATTACCATATTGTTAATGCTGATTTCTGAGATTGATTATCGAACTATTATTGATAGTTTGAGCTGTTAGAACTATGTCATTGGTTTAATGAGCCTAGAACTGTATGATGCTGTACATTGTGTTTGTCATTATGCTGTTAGAGTATGTATTGCTGAATTGAATTCCCAACACTGGCAAAACTCCATGTTATATTGTGTAGTTTTATCAGTGCCTATAGAGAGCTGGCATCGTCATGTTTTCCCACCAAAACAGCCTACAAAGTTACTATTGCATCATTTGTTTTGTTGAAGACATTGTACCCCTCTTCAAACATTAATACTTGAGGGTCCTTTACTGAAGAAGCAATATTGAAGAGCAAACTCTATAGCAACATTCCAAGGAGAAGATAATAGCCATCTCATTTCAGGACCCTCTCCCCTTTCCTCTTTTCGAGTTCTTGAAAATTGTGATCTTGCCACAAATACAAGGAGTTTCAACCAATTTTTAAGATGTGACCAATCCGACCCCTACCACACCAACTCAGCTCGTGAGTATTTTCTCAAGAGGTCATGTTGTAACTGGTCACCAAATTATATATATATGCAGATAAGCGTATATAGCACTAATGCGTGCACTTACGTGCTGTGTTTGAGAGGGAGAAAGGGGACAAAGGATATGACACATTAGTCACAAAATTAGTAACCCTATTAAAAGATAAAGAGGAACATAAGCATCTCGTGCATTACATGAATACGCATGCAAGGAAGCAAAATATGTTTTATGGTGATTGTATATAAGTTCATCAAAGTATAAACATTATAGGATGACGGCAACATAGTCAAGAGAATTATCATGATGGCCTAATTCTCCATTAATGTATAATTAGAATAATTTTTTCTTTAAATATTTACCTGGTATTTTTTTATAACTGTTGAGATAAGTTGATCTTCAGCTTATCAATTGATAAGCATTTCCTCAGCTCAGTCCAATCATCAGCAGATTCGGCTATTGTCCTTCTCTTATCAATTCCGTTGCACCTGATTTCTGTTATTAGTGGATTTCAACCTCACTCCTTGATTTAAGGAGATTGCTCCAGTTGAGACTTTCTGGAACACTCCTTGAACGGCTCCTTCATTATAATTACTGTGTGTATAAATTCTTTGGCCATGGTTGCCTTAATGCATTGTAAATTCATTATTTTATGTAGCTGAGATTCATTCTTTAACTTGGTATCAGAGCAAGCAATGGCAAACGCCAATAACCTAGCACTCAGCATTGATTCCAACTCCCCTGCTACTGCTACTGCTACTGCTACTGCTGGATCGAGCACAGTAATGCCTCCAGTGCAGGCAAGCCACCATTTCTCCCAAACTGGTGTTTACCTTACTCAAACCTTATCTGTCAAGCTTGACAAAAAACAATTTCCTACTATGGCAAAATATGATCCTCCCCATTATAAGATGACATAATCTGGAAGGACACATTCTAGGGACAAAGGAGTGTCCTCTAGAATTCATCAGCACCCAGATCCTGGTGATGCAGGCGTGACAGTTGAAATGAAGAGAAATTCTGAATATGATCAATGGAGGTCAACGGACCAGCTGTTGATGGGCTGGCTTTACTCATCCATGACCCCAGATATAGCCATGAGGGTGATGGGCTGCAGCAACTCCAGTAAGCTATGGACTGCAGTAAAAGAGAGTTATGGAATCCAAAACAAATCCCGGAAAACTTTCCTCACTAGAGAACTTCAGAAGTCAAGAAAAGGAACATTGAGCATCGATCAATATCTCAACAAAATTAAACTTCGGCAGATAATCTTGAGATTGCTGGAAAAGTCATTCCTCACTCAGATCTCATCACTCAAGTTCTAGTTGGTTTGGATGAAGAATACACACCTATTGTGGTTCAAATCAACAGCAAAGACTTCATCTCTTGGGGAGAACTTCAATCAACACTTATGACCTTCGAAAGTAGGCTTGAACATCTCAATGCACTCAGGAATGAAATGTGAGAAATCAATCTCAATCACACATCAAATAACTTTACTCAGAAATCAGGTACAATCAATAGCTATCAAAGAACCTACAGGCCAAACAATGGAGAAAGGTTCAGTAGAGGAGGAAGAAGATGAAGGTATAGAGGTAATAGCTTCAACAACTTCAATGGCTTTGACAGTAGTGACAAAACTATCTGCCAAGTTTGCGGGAGGATTGGACATAAGGCAAATGTGTGCCACTTCAGATATGACGAACGCTATACTGGAAAGCCACCACACCAGGGAAATAATCACAGTTCATCACATTCAGCCTTTGTGGCATCTCCTAGTACCGTAAGTGAACCTGCCTGGTTCGCAGACACAGGAGCAAGTCACCATGTCACTGCAGAGATGGAAAATCTGAATTCAGCAAGTGAATACTCTGGTAAGGAAAAAATTGCAGTTGGTAATGGAAACAAATTGCACATATCACATATTAGCAGCAATCATTTAATTACCTTGACGGGCAAACCACTTGTGTTGAAGAAACTACTTCATGTGCCTGAAATTAAAAAAAAAATCTCATTAGCATTTCTCAACTGACAACTGATAATTATGTCTATGTTGAATTTCACTCAAATTGTTGCTTTGTTAAGGACAAACAAAGGAGGCAGGTAATGCTTCAAGGGATGCTTAAAGGAGGGTTATATCAGCTGGAGGTTCCTCACTCAAACACTGAATCTCAATATCAGAAGTCTGCTTCTTCAAACAACTCCTGCAATGTTCTTATTTCTGTCAATTCCAGTCAAAAGTCTAGTCCAAGTGAATCTAGTGAAAATTCCCAAATTAGTGTATGGCATAGAAGACTTGGACATCCGTCCAGTCAAGTAGTATCTCAAGTACTTAAAAGTTGTAATCAAGAATTGAAAGTCAATGAAACAATTCCCTTTTGCAATGCCTATCAATTCGGAAAAGCTCATCGCTTACCATTTACTTTATCCACTTCACATGCCAACTTCCCTTTAGAGCTTATCCACACTGATGTTTGGGGACAAGCTCCCATTCGTTCAAAATCTGGTTTAATTACTACATTGCATTCCTAGATGATTTCAGCCGTTATACCTGGATATATCCTATGAAATAAAAATCTGAAGCCCTCAA